TTTGATTCCTTGGTCCCAAACACATCTACTCAGAATGTCCTCTTGGCTCCTCCCACTTCCTGAGGAAAGTCAAGCTTACTTTGAACAATTAATGGAATCAATTTGTGGAGGAAGGAGTCAGTTCAACAAAATTAGAATCATTTTTTTTAGGAGGTTGTTATGAAAGGGGCCTTGGCAAGTCACAGACTCTTTGGTACCATTATCTGGATCGATTTGGGACTCGAGATACTTCATTGCCCACCTGGGAATTACATTTTATGATTCTGGCTCTCCATGATGCATTAAGATGGGCTTGCAAATTTTGCAGCTGGGGCAAATGATTATAGCTATTTCCTTTACTTCAAGGAAATATTTTGGGTTCATCGCATAAGCCAGCACCAGCAACTTCTTCTTCTCCCTTTTTTTTTTTTTTTTCCTGTAAAAGCCCAGAGAGTTAATATTTTAGGCTTTCTGGGCCAAAGGGTCTCTGTCAGAACTATTTGACTTGAGCTGTGTGACTCAAAAGAAGCCACAGGCAATGTATAAATACATGAGCAGTGCTGGGAGCTAATAAAACTTTATTGACAAAAACAAGCAGCAGGCTGGATTTGGACCACAGGCTATAGTCTGCGAACGCCTGACATAAACTGTTTGTTCTGTGCAGGAGTGTCAGTGTGAGGAAGAAATGATATTCACTGACACCCTTAGAAAGGAAGTTGCTGCTTTGGTACAAGAAAACTTTGAGGCCTCCTTGTTCTACCATTACCTAAGTAACCTCAAATAATATCAGAAACGGCATTTTTTAACATGATCCCCAGGTGGTCTGTACCCATTAATCTGGAGACCAGCGTGTCTCAAACACCAGTCAAATTACGGACTCTGAGTTCTGAGGCCTGAGACTCTGTACTTCTGACAAGCTCCTGATGACATGGAGGTGGTCCACGGGTGGGGCTTCAATTAAGCAAGATCTGTTTGGGAATATCCTCCACAAAACCCAGTGCTGGGGTGAAACAGGGGAGCGGGTGGGTCCTGCTCCCACCCACCCCCACCTACCCAGTTTCTCTACCCCCAAACAGAGAATGCATGTGTCATACTAGGCTGGATGGTAAATAAACGCAAAAATTCCTCATGGAAACTCAGACCTTGGCTAAGAGGTTCTTACAATCTCTTTATCGAGGGGGGCGGCGGGAGAGTGCGGGGAGTGAGAGAGGGGAGCTTATACACATTAAAAAAAAATCAGTATAAGAGGTCATAGGAAGATCTAAGACAAGGAGACATCAGTGAGAAAATCCTGACCAACACTATGAATGTCTAGAAGGGTCACCCCTACCCCTCTCATCCACCACAGAAGGAGGAACCAGGGGCTCCACATATCACAAGCAGGAACTTTGAGTAGGTTCAAGTGCAGAAGGAAATTCAGTGAATGCTGCCTGTGGGGAAACTTAACATCATTCCTGCAGCCCACAGTCTCAGGCTAAGGTCATTAACATAATATGAGACATTAGAAGGCAATGAACATTGAAACAATGGAAATAAGATTCTTGCTAGCAGCCCTAGGTTGGGTGATGTGGTCTGTGGCTGACCCTTCAATCGAGTCTTATAAACTGAAGATCAAAGCAAAAGCAAGAGGCTGACACCATAGAAAACGCTGGCTCCGAGGGTTTCATGCATGTCTATTTTTAGAGCCCTGACTAGTTCCCCCTTGAACCTGGTTCAGAGCTGCACTCACACTCGGCAAGAGGGGCACGGACCAGGCCCATGCTGAGATGGCATCCAGATGTCACAGCCCAGCCAGCGGTCAGAGCTCTCCCCAATCTGGCAGCCGCCTTCCTTTCCAGCTCTCTCTTCCACCCCTCCTCAACCCTCTGCTCCCCATAGATTGCCATTTGCTCCCTCCCCCCCAACCCCTGACCCCTGCGTCCAGTGCAGCCCTTGTTCACTGGTCACTCTATGGCTTTGCTGCTGTGGTCAGCTCCACCGATAATGACCGACCCCATCTCACCCCCTCTGCATACTGCACTGCTGCCCGGCCCCCCAGGCTGGGCCCCAGCCTCACCCCCTCCACAGTCGAGGACCACCCAGCCACAAGTGCTGTTCTCTTCCATCACCACTCATCACCAGACCACCTCCTGGGCGTCTCCCTTCCTGCCCGCACCCCCTACCTCCACACTGAGCATGGTTCTCTTTTCTGTTCCTTCCCATGCTGCTCTCCAGCCTCACGGTTCCTTGCATTGCACCACAGTCCATTCTCGGCTCGTGCTTTTCAGAATGTTGCTGGAGCCCAGTTCATCCAGAAACATCTAAGCCACCTCTGGCTCCCCGGACCTCCCTTCCCCTAGGCAGGCTTGGTTCCTCGGTTTCTAACTGGTGTCTCCTCTCCTGCGTGGCACACTAGCCATGACTCTCTCATTAGTTAGACTCTGACCCTGATCTTGCCTTTTCTAAAATAATCCTGGCACCGCCATGTTCCAAAGTCTCAGACCTCGAGGTCTAGGCAGGCATGTGGTCTCAGCGTCTCAGTCATCTCCACCGTAACACACTCTGCATTCGACCAGGTGTGTTCTGGTCACAGCTCCAAATGCCACCCCTCCCACCACCACCCCCACCTCCAACACCCAGGCTGTGCCATCCCCAAGACAATTTGTCCTCCAGGACACAGGAAAGCCGGACCTCCCATCCGAGATACTCATGTGAAACAGACCAGGCCTAGGCCCCTCGCAATGGGAAAAAGACAGCTTCTCGCCCATGAAGGAAAATCAAGTTCCAGTTGGAAATACAAACTTTTCCTTTAAAGGAGAAGCTAACGTTGGCAGCCCCACTCCAGCACCGCTGGAAGAGCCATTTTGGGAGAGAGAGGGAAAGGAAGACAGTGTGAATGATAAGTGGACAGGAGAAGAGAGAGCAAAGCTGAGAGGAAGGAGGCACGGAGGGAGAGGCAGGTGGGAGGCAGAGTGAGAACAGGAAGACCCACAGAAGAAGAAGCAGAGGGGAGGGGAGAGGGAGGGATGAAGAGGAAAGAAAAGGCAGGGAAGACAGGCCCACGGCTCTGCCGGCTCGCCCACAGACTACCTGTTCTGTGACAAGCTTGACAGTGTCCCCTGGGAGCTCTAACCTCCAGGAGGGGGCAGGCTCTCCCCTGAGTGGAATCTACACTAGAGGTTGGGGTTGGGGGTGGGGGGGCAAACCAACAACCAAACAGAACCGGCGGCATCTCTCTCCAAAGGCCCTCAGTAACCTCTACTCTCAGTATTGGTGAGTGAAGCCGGAGCTCTGAGAAGCAGGGGACCCCGCAATCCGGTGAGTCCCGCATGCCAGAACGTCTGTTCTTAATACCCCCTTCCCTCACACGGGTTCCCGTTCAGATGCTAAATAGCTTGGTCCTCCTAGTAAGAGGAGACATAGGAAATGGAGACGAGTCTCTGAACAGAAGGAAATAGTGTGGTCATTCTCAGAAAAGGAGGAAGCCTGGACTGGCAACCAGAAGAGAGCAGAAGGCGTCTTCCCTGGGGGCAGAAGTGCCTGAGGGAGCTCTCGGTGTGACATGAGAGTGGAGGCAGGGAGAGGCGGCCTGATGAGGCTTCACAGGACAAGGCTATCTCTATACAGCACACGCTGGGGTACTGAAATACTAATTTCTGGACATAGTCACTCTGGATTGGGTGGCAGGGGAAGAGAGGGCTGCAGGGACCATTTCTGGAAAATAAAGCAGTGGGAGACACAAAGAAATCACTTTGGAGGAATCCATGTAATAGAGAAAATCTGCAGCAGCTGTTGGTTGGTGGTTAAGCGTAGCCCTGAATTATTAATAGGTAATGGCAGGCCGTGAGGGGCCTGGTTAAGACCTCTCCGGCCTCCAGTAGCAGGAGTCTCTCGGAAGCCGACTGGAAGGAAGGGAAGGAGGGAGGAAGGAGGGAAATAAATCAGTTTCAAGGCAAGCTGCAGGAAGAAAGGGACCCAGGATGGTTTATCACCACAAGGAAGTGAAGGAGAAATGGGGAGGAGGCTTGTTCCTTAGATAACAAACGGGAGGCGAGTATAACCTGGTGAGCATCCCGGCAGTGAGAGGAGATCTCTGGGAGGAGGCGTCCCTCCCCAGGACTCAGGGTCCACGTTATTCGCTTGGCCGCCCATTCCTTCGGCAAGTTCGAGGAAGCAGTGAGGAAAGTTGAAGCCCTGAGGGAAGTTAGTCTCAATCAAGTCCGCGGGCTCCCCCGGGGCACCTCGTGTGCGCCAGACCCGAGCTGGATGCCGGGGCTGCAGGCATAAAGGACATGCGGTTTCTGCCTTCTGTGACCTCCAGGCAGATGGGTGGATGACTACAGTTCTAGACTCGTTAGCGGGATCTGAGTCTGCTGAAGGATGAACTGAAAGTCCCCTCGAGACCAAAATGCACCCAGAGCAGAGCACCTCGACATGGGCAAATGCTTCCTGGCTAACCCGCAGAGACGCTGAGATGCACCACGCTACTCTAACCACCCAGAGGCCCGGGACTAAGTGAGAACCCCGGGCTCGGTTCTCTGGTACGTGTAAGTCCTCCAAACCTTATCACGGCACTCTGCTTCAATAACCCTGGTTTCAGTAGTTCTGTGAATTATTATTTTTCTCTAAGCCACCTCAAATTATTGCTGGAAGAAGGCAACTTAAAAAAATAAATAAACTAATGAAATTAGGAGAGATCCAGATCAATATGGGAACCCTGAGATTCTAGTGGGTTCTGTAGGGACAGGGAAGGTCAAGATTGCCTGGGCCACTCAGAGCCAGGGAGGATGCCCTGAGCCAGGACACCCCGGGATGGGCCCCTAACCAGGCTCAGTCAAGTGTGAGCTGACATTCAACATCGGCTTTTCCTACAATCAAATACATGATCTCCTCTGATACCAGGTCTCAGCACAGAATACGCGCGCTTGATGGTCCTTGTGACACCAGCCAAGTAAGTGAATGGCTTCAGGGTACATGTCCTGTCGTCACCGCCCCCCCTCCTGGCTCATGGGGTGACAGCTTCAGCAATGGGCCCTACTTACATCCATGGGTGCAGAACATTCTCCGACAACAGGATCCTCCACGACAGCTGGCTTCTGCGTCTCTTCAACTGTCACAGCGTCTTTGCTGGAAGCCACAAGCCTTGGAACTTTCTAGAGCATGGAACTCCAGACCACTTGTAGATATACCTTTATGGAGGAGGAAGAAAGGGAAAGCAGTATCATGTTACAAATGTTTGCTTCATTCACACTTTCTTTCCTACTTGACATTGGGGCGTGTGACTAACAAACAGAAACCCCTCAAGTGCCCAGGGCACCAAAGGGATCTCCAAGACATTTTGTTTCTGAGGGTTCTTATACCTACTGATATTTATCAGTTTAGAAACTAAAACAGAGGGGCACTGGGTGGCTCAGTGGGTTAAGCCTCTGCCTTCGGCTCAGGTCATGATCTCGGGGTCCTGGGATTGAGCCCTGCATCAGGCTCTCTACTCAGCAGGGAGCCTGCTTCCCCCTCTCCCTCTCTCTGCCTGCCTCTCTACCGACTTGTGATCTCTCTCTCTGTCTGTCAAATAAATAAATAAAATCTTTAAAAAAAAAAGAAACTAAAGCAGAATTTAAGTTTAGTATTTATTTAAAATAATAATTATTAAATTTTATAATTCATGTTTAATTTCTTACGCATTATTATTATTAAATTATTATGATGATTACGTGTTAGCTTAAATGATGATTTTTTTAATACAAATAGCTATTTTCAAAAAATAATGAGGAGAGTAGCATTATTTTACATTTTAAAGAATCCCGTTGATATCTGGCTTGATCCAACGCAGATTCTTGTATCTGCTTCTGAATTCAGTCTGTTGCAATATCACCTATCACCTAACCTCTGAAAAACTCCACCATGTAATTGTGGGAGACTGAGAGTAAAAAAAAAAAAAAACAAGCAAAACATTTTAGGATTATTGTGAAAATGGTCTTGTTCTTGTTGCTCCCCTGAGGGGTATCCTGAGCCCTGGACCCACCATTCTGTGCAATCAAAGCAGGTCTTACTTCTCCCTCTGACTATCCCTGTCTTTCTTTGACACCACTAGTTATCAGTTACCTGAGCAGTCTTCTAGAACTTTCTAGACATAAATGAAAATATAGGGATGTAGAGTTGTATCAATTTTTAACAATCACGTATGAGCACTCTATACATTCTCCTCGGGTTTTCTGTCACACGTGTTGGGCGGTGTTGCATTTTAGCGTGTGGTTATGTCATTTCTGCGGATATCTTCTCCTCCTTGTCCTATCCTTGTGGATATCTTGGTGGGATATAACACCACCCAGGTCCGCACAGCACCACAGTACAAAGGCAGGCTGCTCAACAGCGACTGTGACTTGCCACTTTCTTCAGTGAAGGACACAGGGCTTCATGGGAATAAAGGGGCCACACGGAGCAAGAACAGACGTCACACATATTAGCACAGCTTTGCTCCAGCTTCTGTTTCCCTAAGAAGGCATGCAGCCCAAATATTCAAAATTTGAGAAGATACCCAATTTTTTGCCATACTACTGGGGGCTCACCCAGTATCATGCTTGGGGCTTACCTCACTGTACCGGAAAGACTTGTGTTAACAATCTCTGTGCTTATTTTTATAGGAATGTTTGCAGACAACCTGTCTGGAAACACACTCACCGTCATCAGTGCCACATAATCGTGAGGCAAGAAGGCAGGGCCAGGGTCCCAGCGTCCCCGGACAGTATTCCTGAAAACTATTTCCCTGTGGTACCAAGTGAACCGAGATTAACCCTCTTGGGTCACAACTTCCCTGACATGGAAACAGAACACCCCTCACCTGCAGGAAACCCTCCCCTCGGAGCGGTAATCTGGTCACATTACACCGCAGGTTTCAAATACTCAAATTGATGCTGACCAATGAGGGTTCACTGCCTCTCTCCGAGACTTACTAGCTATAGAATCTTAGCGTCCACTTCCTTATAAAATGGAAGTAATGACACCTATCTCATGAAGTTATTAAGAATAATTGTAATTAACTAGGGACACCTGTGTGGTTCAGTCAGTTGAGCATCTGACTATTGGTTTTGGCTCAGGTCATGATCTCAGGGTCATGAGACCGAGTCATTTCCTGTGTCCCTCCCCCACCATGGCCCCCTTGGCTCCACACTCAGGGCCAAGTCTGCTTGCGATTCTCACTCCCTCTCCCCCCACCATTCACTCAGGCACCCTCTCTCTCTCTCTCTCTCAAATAAATAAAATCTTAAAAAAAGAAAGAGTAATCATAATAATCTATAAGCTCTGCCGACCACATAGCAAGTGTTCAATGCTTGGCCGTTGGTAGCCTCCTTCCTTTGTTGTTCTATGAACAGAAATAACATGAGACCGATCCTATGTCCTGGACTGGGCTGGTTCTTCAGGAGGTTTGCTCCTGAACATGTCCAGGAGTAACTGCCGGGGCAGCACAGCGAGCAAAGTCAGAGTCAGAATTCAGAACCAGGTCTGTCCTACTCCAAAGCCCAGGCACTGAACCGCACCATCATGTGATGTTTCAGCTAGAAAGGAAAGCAGCCCTGGGGGGAATGAAACAGCAAAGCCGGGGGCCTCCTAGCGTTGGTCTCACAAGAGAAACAAGTTATCTTTAACTGTAAATTAATGATTTTACTAACCCAATACCGTGACTGTAATCAAAATAAAAATTCTTCAGAAAATCATCACTATGCTAGACAGGAAAGTAAGAATGGCAGGACACCAAAGCCAAGATTTAATTAGTTTGGGATTTAGAGATCATTTATTTAATTAGTGTTCAATTAGGGTTGTTATTAAGATGAATGGGTGGTTTCAATTTACAGATGATTATTTTGAATAATGGGTAAATAATGTAATATTAATTTATCTAAAGACATTTCTAGCTCCTAGTGCATGTCAGGTGTGCAGATTAAAGAAACATGTCTCTTGGCCTCCAAGAAGGTATATAACACATATCATAATATATAAAGGATATAAACATATACATATACGGGTTGGGGGGTAATAAGATAGATAAGAATAAGGTGCTAAAAGAAGGAGAAATGTGGCCAGTGGGGTGTTCAAGGAAGGTCTGAAGGTGAGGAGGCATTGCGCAGCTGCCTCTTGAAGTAGAAATCAGATTTTGTCAGCCTTGGAAGAGAGGGAGGTAGATCTAGAGATGCCGGCTTAAGCTAAAGGCTTAACCTGGCATGGGGGATGCTGCAGAGGAGAGCCAAGGGGCAGAGGGACCTACCAAATCCTGACCTAGAATAACGACATCAGGAAGGGAAAAGAAAGAAATGATAATGCGACATCAGGAAGGGAAAAGAAAGAAATGATAATGCGGAGAGAACTGAGGGTTGACCAGTAACTGGCTACAGTGGGGAAGAAAGGAGGAGTCAAAGAAGCTTGAGTTTCCAACCTCCACATGACCAGGAACACGTCATTATTAACAAACCCTGGAAAAACTGGAAGAGGAACTGGTACGTAAGGGAAGATGGTGAGTTTGGTTCTGAACATAAAGAATTGGGTTCCTTAAGGGGCTCCTGGGTGTCTCAGTCAGTTAAGCATCTGACTCTTGATTTCGGCACAGGTCGTGATCTCAAGGTTGTGGGATAGAGTCCCACGTCGGACTCTGCGCTGGGCGTGGAGTCTGCTTAGGATTCTCTCCCTCCCTCCCTCCCTCCACCTTCCCCATCCCCCATCCCGTAAAAAAAAGATTGTTTTCTTAAGATGGAAGCAGGTAAACATATGAGCACAGAAGAGTCTGGCGTTCAAGAGAGAGTTTGGGGTTAGAGACACATATTTGAACATCAAATACATAAAAGCAGTAAGTGAAGTCTGAGGCAGATAAAATGACCTGAGAGAAGAAAAATGAAGACAAAACCTCCGGACCCATCTGCCTTGAGCGGGTGGAAGAAGATGAACATCTCCAGGTAAGAACCAGAACGACTCAAAACAGTTCCTCCTCCTAAAACATCAGAAGCCTCTGGTCTAACCCAACTCCCTTACCTCACAGATGAAGAAGTCATCTTCTTCAGGTCTAGAGGACCAAGTAACTTATCTAAGGCCTCACAGCTGCAAAACTGCAACTAGATGGTTAAGTGACCACTGGGAATTTAGGACTGCCTTGGCGACTGGGCCTTCTGTGTGCACCAGCTGACAAGACTGGATTCAGGGAGGCCTGAGAAAAAACTGGAAACTTCTTTTATCTCTGCTACATCAGTCCAGCCCTGTAACTGTGCCCAACCACATTATCAGCTCAGGGTTCAAACCACATCTTACTCATCTTGTTGTCACGGCCCCTCTGCCCTCAACTTTCTCCATCACTGTCTCTGCCACCAGTGTTATTACAGAGTAGAAAATCACCGACCACGGTCTTCTGATTGTGCACATGATCATAGACTTCTGGAGTTGAAAGACCTGTACTAGTGTAGCCTCTGTGGAAACAGACCCGGGAAGTCCAGTGACCAGATAAGCAGTTAGTAGTAGAACCCAGACCAAAATTCCAGTCTCCTTTCTTTCCATTTCACCACCAACCTTCCTTGCAAGAGACTTATTCTTAAAGATTTACTTATTAATTTGAGGGAGGGAGGGAAAGAGAGGGAGAGAGAGAGTAGGGGGAGGGCAGAGGGAGAGAGAGAATCTTTTTTTTTTTTATGGATAAGAAGTGAATTTATTTTGATTCAAGACTTACTTTTTTTTCTTTTAGTAGCTTTTTTTTTTTTTTTGGAGAGAGAAAATCTTAAGCGAACTCTGGGCTGAGCACGAAGCCCAAACCCAGGACCCTGAGGTCATGGTCTGAGCTGAAATCAGGAGTCTGATGCTTAACCAACTGAGCCACCCGCAAGGCGTCCCTCAAAAGACTTGCTCTGAAGACAAGCTCTCTAGTCTCTGATTTCTCCTAATGTATGTTATGAAGCCCTCTCCCCTTAAGACGCTTCTTGAAGAAAAGAGTTCCATGGTCCAAAACGTTTGTGGAGTGCTATAAGCTACCCCTCTCTTGGACAGCCAAAATGCTTATTACCATATTAAAGACCTTGGCAGATCCTGCAGGGAAGAAACATGGGTCATTCTCGAAGAATATTTCCCAAACTTGTTTGACCAC